TATAAATATACAAATTACCTTTATGAGCATTGCATATATAATTTATAGCTAATTTCGATTATTTTATTGTAAATTTAAGTTATTACAATAGTAAGAAATTTAAATATAGTAATATTTTATTATTTAGATGTTTATTTTTGTTTTAATTTATATTTAAACTAGTCCTAACTGATCTTCCATTGGTTAGTATAATATTGGAGGATTAACAAATTATATATATATATATATATATCGATAAACTAGACCATATACAAATATTTATTTATCAATAAATAAAGGTTACAAAAATAAGTAGTCAAAAATAATAGCAAAAAGTCTAAATAGATTAAGCAAAGGTTTAAGATCCAAAATTATAAAATGTAAAACAAATAATTACATGAGAGGGAGGTCTCATATATAATAAACATATATTAAAGCCGATGCTTTCTGCAGCTATCAAAATCCAATGAGAAAAAACAATACTTTTATACTAAATTCAAAAGGATAGGCTTTGACATGATTTTGGATATGCTCCAGCAATTGGTAGTTCCTTAGGACAGCTAGTGCAGCAATTGCGGCGGTTTCTTTCATGGAGTCCTTGCTACGGACCGAGACGTAATAACTTCAAGGGCCAATTTGCCATTTGCTATTTGCCGGATTAGCGACGCTTGACGTCACGTGCGCACGTTTAGCGGTGTTCGTAATTATACAGATAATAGAAGCGACCCGCCACTGGCTCAATAAATGATTTCAAAATTATTTTCCAAGAGCAATATCGCAAATTACTTTTTTCTCCTTCCTGTTCTCACACTATTGCTAACTCAACGCATTAATAATATTTTCGAAATACCTTTTATATTCAATTTTCCATTTATAATGTTATAATTTACTTGTTTAGTTATTGATTACATATGATTATTTATTTATTAATATTCTGACACTATTATAATTACATTATTGAATTTTATTCTTCTTATTATTATATATTAAAATTAAATATATATTATATATTAAAATTGGTAAATAATTTAACATTTCTTCCATTTAATATTATTGTATGTAGTAATAAGTTTTGCGATATCATTAAAAAATGTAAATTAAAGATTAAATTTTGTTTGTTCATATAATTTAGATAAAATTAGATATAATCACACAAAGCATACGAATGAAATGAATTTATTAGTACTATTTTGATATTGCACTAAGAGAATAAATCCTATATTATACATCTAGATGCTTTAATATATTTTTGAAAAATATAATAAAGTATTTTTTTGAAAACAAAATAAAAAAAACTTATTTAATTAACTTATGTATAATAGTTTGTCATTTTATATCTTTTTAAATATATTAAAAACACTTATGTTGTATCACTGTTAAAGATATGGATTTAAACATAATTTAAACACTATTTGAAAACAAGTTATATTATAAATATATAATATTTTATTATTTAATTACTTTTTTAAAACACGTACATTTATACATTTTTTACATATTTCGTATAATAATATTATGATGATAATAAATGATTTTATTACATAAAATTCATTTATTCGTTATTAATTTTTGATTTTATCAATAATTATATATTTATATGAATTTTTATTTGAAAAGAAAAATAATTTAAAAAAATTTCAATACAGGTTGGAAGGAGCTATTTTCGTAATTTTAATGGAAAACATTGTTATAAAAATATATTGTAAAATCTATATGAAAAAAAGTTTTATAATTCTAAGCTAATTGACTAAAGTAGAATGCGCACATATTTAAGTAAAAAAATTTTTAAAAAACGGTAAATTTTAGTTATTGAATGTTTGAATATTGTCATGTCATTGGTATAAAAAATTTTTGAAAATAAAATGTATAAATATATATTTTCAATGGACAACTATTACTTTTAATATTATCGTTTATGTTGATTTTAGCTATTAGATTGCTGTCGATGAGCTTAATCATAATTATACACATAACTTATAAATGTCAATAAGTTTTATATTCGATTACCGTTGGAATGTAAATGAATGATATGAAAATAGTTGGAAACAGTAGATATATTTTTCTTCTTAACATATATTACGAATATGAAAATATAATTAAATATAATTTATTAATATATTTTGTAAATAATGCATGTTAATTTAAAATATCGGATATGAATTTTGATCAATTTTCAAAGTCAGACCATCTTGTAAATGACTATTAAAATAAATTCTTATTTTATTTTATCTTATCTTATCTAAAATAATATTTAATCTTATATTAAATGTGTGCTAAAATTTATTATCTTTCTACCAATAATTTATAATATTCTGTCAAAACACTTCCGCAATAAATTCAATAAGTATCATTCATAGTTTTTGCCTAATAACTCTGTGTTTCTGTGAATGTTATTTTATCGTAGCAATGAGTCATAATATTTGGGTAAGTCTAGTAGAAATTAGTATGACGATAAATTTCTATTTTTTAACCTTATTCTGAGACAGTATCTATTATTATTCATATTTTAGAGAAAAATTAAGAGCACCGACTAATTTAATTTTCAAAGAAATTTTCAAACACAAGGTATCAAAACCTCACCTACTTAAGCGTTATAAAAATAACCGTTATATGATCCAAGAGTCACTTTTACGCTAGTTATCTACCAAGAAAGAAAAGAAAAAGAAAAATAAGCAGGTGAGACAGGCTGTACGTATATTTCCATGCAAATTCTAGTAGCAAAAGTCCGACTTTTATTCCACATAGTAGCGTGCAGGTATGAATAATGAAAAAGAATTAATAATAATATTTTTGTACTATACAGACAAGTCTATAAGTATAAAATTCATGAGAATATGTAAATAATATTGTAAAAATTGAGCTTTAAAAATATATTTTTTAATTATATATGATAATATTAGTGAAACTTTAAAATGCAAGCTTTAACCGAAGATTTACTCTTTTCACAGCGAAAATTTCACTGCATACAACAAAATTGAAATAAATCAGTAAATTTTGTTAGCATACAATATGATAGTAAGAACTTGATAAAATGAAAATTTGATACAGACAAGTCCTAGTTTACATACATTAATTAAAAATAACATCATAATTTTTAAACAGAAGAATAATTAAACAGTTTCTTTAAATAATTGACGCTCAATATTTTACTAAATTATATTTTTAATCTAAAGTTTTTTTTTAATACTTTTTGAGTTTCTATAAATGTCATCGTATATTTATATATTTTTCTTTCATTTTTTATTACTATTTGCATTCTTCATTACTTTTTATATATAACGATTATAATCTTCATATTTTTACTTAAATGCGATTAACGTATGGTAAAATAATACTATACTCGTTTAAATTTGTAGCTAATTAATTTCCTTTTAATATATTCTCGTATTATATTGAAAGAATAAATTCATAACCGTTAAAACTTCATAAAACCAATAATTTATACTAAAAGTATTATTTGATTTATCGTTTTTTTATAACATGGTCAATTTATGTAAATAATATGAAATAAATTTTGACATATTTATTCTTTTTTTTTTTTAATTAATATGATAATACCATTATAATATCAGAATATGCACAATACATAAATAGTTATAGATTTTTATAACAACTTGTATATTCAGATAAGATAAATAACGTTCATATAAAACGTAAAATGATAATTAGATTTAAGACATAAAACTTTCTATTACTATCATGTAATATCATGATAATAAATTAATAAGAACATTAATAATTATCATTTATTATATTGCACCTTATTTAAAATTATATCTATTTTACATTACAGATCATTATATCATCATTCTAAAATAATTTTGGAAAAAATACAAAAATTGTAACATTTTATGAATAGTTAGTTTGGGAAAATGAAATTACTTCAATGCTTAATTTTCACATTTTTCGTACACGATACTTAATTAAAATCACAATCTTTTTTATTCAAGTAATTTCTTTTGTCCAGAAGATTTGGACCAGATAATTTTATATATAAATTGCAGTAAGCTAACCATTTTTTAGAATATTGAATTTAGTCAAAAGTATGTATTTTAACATTCGAAAACATTGAATTAAAATTTGATTTAAATATCAAACTTATTGGATGGAATCTAACGATAAAAAATTTGAGTTTTATGTATGAAAGGACTACTGTATCCATTCCATCACTTATGTTGAAATAATAATAGATAATGAATTACAAATGTAGATATTTAATTCAATGTTCATCATTAAATCGCACGATTACAACAATCTTTTAACTATTTTTTCAATGTTTCTTTAATGTATTGTAATTTTATCCTTACCTTATGATGTATATAAATTGAATATCATTGCATTTTAAAACTATTCTTAATATATAACCTATGAAATGGAATTTCTAATTCGTGATGTTAAGATACTTATGATTTTATATAGTGTTCTACTTAATTATTGTTTAGCAAACAATAAATTTAATTATATGAAAATCGATAATGTGCTTAATACTAATTTAATGACAAATAACTTAATAATCATAATAATTTAATTTACTTTTTTCTAATAAATTACTAAAGATTGAATTATTCAAAAATGAAATTTTATATATATGTTAAGTAAGTAGTGTCAGAAAAAATTTTAATTCGATGAATATTAAATCAATTTTAATATTATAGGTACGTTAGAAAATATGTGAAAATTCTAATACTACAAAGTATTTGTTTTACATGTGAATTTTAAAAGCAAGAATTTTATTATTTTTTAAAATATTTAAATATATTATTTATATGTATATGAATTTTTAGATCAATTTGTAACAATTTCTTCTTTTAAAAATGTTATAGTTATTAAAATAATTGTTACATATAATTTTATTTTAATGAAAACAATCAATGTCAAAGTTGTATTTTTGTTTAAAAAATTACAAGCACTGTAAATATGATAAAAAATCTTTTATATATGAATTGAATATATGTGTGATAAAATTGTAGTAAAACTGAATAATATATAATGAAAATTAAATTTCATTATTGTCCATTTACAGAATTTCAATGACTTTATGAGTTAGAAGGAACCGAGGTAATATATTTTATTTATTGGATGTAGCTCAAAGTCAGGATAAAATTTAAATTACTATCAATGAAATTATGTGTATGATTTAATTTACAGATGAAAGGGGATCCTCATAAAAGCTTCAAGTATCGAAATATTATACTTCCTCTATATTCTATTGTTGAATTCAGTAAGTACCATTTCAATTTTAATAGTCAATAACAGTAACTTAAAAGAAGCGAATGAAGTTTTCAAATTCTTTAGTATACATTAATTTCGAATATTCCAATATTTTATTGGTTTAATATAAATATGTTTTAATAAATTATATTTTGGTATAAATTTTTGAGTTGTTATTAAATATTTTATATTTATAAGGTTCATTTTCACGATATTATTATAATATATTCATTGAGATTTATTATCAAACTTATACATTTTTTAAATATAAACGATTTTATTAGATCAATCTGTGTACTTAGTACAAATTTATACAAGAAAATTTTGTATGAAAAATTATCATTATAGTTTTACATTTTTAATTTTTTAATTTAAAGTATTTTCTTCAAATTTATCTCACAAACTTATTTAAGATCAAAAAATATATTTCAATAAAGTATTAGGATATATCTCCTACCCTCTAAACTTCAGTTTGTATGTTTTCATCAGGAATAATTAATTGTTATGACGGGAAATTAGTTAGAAAAATGGACAAATTAAATTCATTAATTATATTCTCTATAAATACTATATTAAAACATGTATATATAAATATATCATCGGATCATTTATAAAAATAATTATTTAAGATTAACATAAATAGGAAACAAAAATAACATAAATAAAAACTTATACGAATGAGCTTAAATGTAGCATACAAAATTAAGGATATACGCGTCATTTAATTAAATAAAAAAAGGTTCATTACCGAAATACGATGGAAGAACAAAAATTTACTATTAAATGCAACTTAATATTTGTAAATAGTTTGATCAGCAATAAATACATAAATAGATAAAACAAAGTTAAAATTCTCAATATTTAGTGGAGTTTGCCTGTGCAATCCATTACAACCAGTTAAAGGAGCCATCTTTAGTCCAATGCAGTGCACATAAACTTATACAGTTACTATTATTAACCATAGCTCACCGTCGCACGACAATATTTTTAATGAAGGATTGGCGCTCAAAAGTCACGCCTAGTGGAAACAACGAAGCGAAAAAATGAAGTAGCTCAAATAGTCATAGGTAGGTCATTTCTTTGTAACTTGCGCCCACGGTTTGTTCGGCGTTCTTGATCAATTATCCTATATGTTTCTCCATCTTTTTATATCTCTGATCTTCCAGCGGTCGATGAGAACAACACCGCTAAGCAGAATTGAACAAGGAGAGGATATAGTGGTGAAGTCGTGAGAGTAAAGGGCTGACAGGATGTCAGATGATGTCGGTCGGTTGCGTAACTCAGTTAGAGGAAGTTTATCTAAATATGGATTAGCAGAAGTATTTTTTATTTCAACTGCTATACTTTAACTCTAATAAAACCATGAAATATTATACTGCACATTGGGACAACTGAGTTTTCAATGATTTCTTTGTCATCGTAAGGAAGACTTTTGTATGATATTTTTAAGACATTCGAGTAGCTTTAATACGTATTACTTGATCCTTCCGAATAGTTCCAAACATTCATTAAATTTAAAAACGTTATTCCTTTACTGCAAAATAGTTTAATGTTATTCTTTAACATAAACTAAGTAAAAACGAACTTATCTATATATTATTAGTAGATTAGAATGCATTGTATTTGTAATGATTTGTAATTATAAATTACTTTAACTTCAGGCCAAACATTATTTTATATATAATATAATTTTAATATAATTAGTATTATCAACATTTTTTTTCATCACTCTTCTTCATTAAAGATGATATATTCACAATTAAAATATTGTATTTATACTGCTTAGATTTTAAATTATATGATAATTAGAATGATAAACAAGTGAATATATTTCTTTTATCTAGTAATATTTTCTTCATTGTTTATTTTAAATTATTATTTTCGATGAACGTTTCTAACCACGTGCACATCGGAGGGAGTTCATTAGGCAAAGATGCAGAAACATGAGAAGATGAAGAAAAATAGGAGGAGGAAAAAGTTAAGCCAAGCACACACTATCTACTCCGTAGAAAATAAAATCAGGGCGACCCGTCCGTAGTCAGAGATATCATTGTTTCGCACTAAAGCGCATATGCCATAACTCTCGGAAGTGGTCCATTCATTCCTTGTATGTTTATAAACGAGCGCCGACACAGCGACACAATGAAGAAATACACTTCGAGAAATCGGACAAATCTTAACTTCACGTAAGCGAATGGAATTTCTCGGGGACAATTGTGCCATCTCTGTATGTATGCATGTTATCTTATGCAGTTCAGCTATTGTTAAATTCATTTTGCTTTCTTATTTTGTGCTGAAGTGACTCTTAAATAATTTTTGGCATTTGACTCATCCTAATTCACAACTGTTGACAGTACCTTAAAATATGCAATAAGCAATGTAGGTCTATAATGAACGGGACATTATAAAGTAATGTGAGCAATTGTTCTTTCCTTTGGAATCATCATTTAGACAAGAAGGGCAGTAATTCTTCAATTAAGAAGTAATGAAGTCGTTACTCTCTTGAATTATATGCTTTATTATATTGCTATATTGTATTTTGCTTTTTTCATAGAAATTAATTTTCCCCGTTTAAACTTTAAAAATGAATATTGTCATTACATGAGTAATCTACGGCACTATTACCTATTGTAAAATCAATAATAAATACAATATCAATTAATTTTTTAATAATTTGTAACAATAATTTTTATTATTATTATATTTTTTAGTTATACTACTTATATAAATGAATCGTTGATCTTATAGTAAAATTAATTTATATTTATGAGATTTTTAATAAACATTATTCTTGATTACAGTATATAATAAAATAAATAGTATTTCATATGTAGCAAAAAATTTCATTTCTACAACTAATCTTTTTTATAAAATTGTGATTTTTAACAAAATAATTTAAATTTTAATATATACATACTGTATATCATTTTTGGCAGATTTTTATTATTAAGTAATATATAATGTTTACTATAAACACACTTCGTTAAATTTACTCATGTTCTCTTATTATTTTAACTAGAATATATTTAATTTTTACAATTATTTAATATTTTAATATAACATTTTATTGTTAAGAACTGTCTAAAAATTTAGAAATATTTCTGTATATATAATAAACGAAAAAAATAATAATAGTTTTTAATGAATTTTCTGAATCATTAATAAGAATTTAATTTTTATGAATACTTTTTAAGAATACTGAATTAATACTACACTGATAAAACAATTAAAATATTACGTATCCCAATTATTATAACAATATGATACATGTGGCTGAACAATGACTATATATGTATATATATATATATATATATATATATATATATATATATATATATATATATATATTGCAAAATACAGAACCTTCATCTTATTTTTAGTTTTATGAAATTAATTGACTCGCCGTACATGCAAATGTTTGCATAAAATAAACTTATGTGAATCACAATAAAGAAATAATTAAAAATATTTTTAGTCGTAATTTATACAAGAACATTATAACGACTGTACATAAACACACAAACGAATGTACATACACAAAAACATGAATTTATGTGTGCTTATAGAAATTTAATTAAATAAATAAATGATAATTTTCATTAAAATATATTTATTTATTTTAAATTCCGTATAATGGTGAATATAATGAATATTGAAAATTAAACATTGGAAATAGGTATAATAAAGATTTTTAAAATCTTGAAACAAAATTGATTTATTATTATATAAAACATGATACAAGAATTTTATGAAATCTTTTTATTTAATAATCTTAGAATATTATATTATTTATATTATCTATTTTTTTTCAATGATTTTTGTTAATCGATTTTTCCTTCGAATGATATATCTTAGTTTATTTTGTATTATGCGAAAAAGTGCTAGGAAGTATAAGTATTAATATAAAAATGAATAATATATAAATATATAATATTTGTATTTGAAAACATGAAAGTTTAAATTATGAAAATAATTGATAAGTACCCAAAATAATAACAATTTAAAATAAAAGAATATATTTTTATTATTATCAATATTTATGAAACATTGAGTAGCTAAACATAGACAAAACATGTGCACACTCACAGTTTACACATATGTATATGCAAGAATAAAATACCGAATATTCCACTGGATTTATATTATATATTATGTATATATACATAAAGGTAAGGAAAGAGATAAAGGTAAGAGACAAGTATTGAGAGGTATATGAAAAATGATGGGACATGGAGAAACAAAGAAATGATGCGTGCGTTTGTGTATGAGCTAGAGAGAGAGAGAGAGAGAGAGAGAGAGAGAGAGAGAGAGAATTCAAATTTACATTAGTGTTACATAAGTATGGGATATACGTGCATCGTAGTGAAGTAATCGCTAATTCATTTCCTCGAATGATTCAAGTTTATCATTTCAAAAAAGGAAAACTAAGAACGAAGAATGGAGACATATATAGAGGGAGAGAACGAGGTGAACGGAAAGCATGAAAAGGAATATCAGTCGCTGCCTGCTCTGAAAGAAGAGACTGGATCTTCAGTTGTTTCTCTTTTTCTCTTGGCACGAAAATTTTGTTAGCCAGCTCCCAACCTGACCACATTCTCCCCCCACCTTTTTTTTCATCCCTCTAACTGTCTCTTTTTCGTTACATTTCTCTGTATTTGTTTCTCTTTTCTTTCTCGCGTATATTTATCGTTTCTCTCTCTCATTTTCTCTCTCTCTCTCTCTCTCTCTCTCTCTCTCTCATTCTCTCTGTACACCACATGATCAAAAAATATTTTTTATTACGATTTTAGATAAATAATTACTTACTTGCAATTGAAATTGGTTCAATTTAAAATAATAAATGTATATAAAATTTTAAAGAAATTAGTTATTCCTTTTCATATAATGAATACACCCGTACACAAAATACTTGAATTATATGTTTGATAACATGGATCAATAATTTATGTGTTATCAGTGTTAGCGTTTTATTGGTAGTATATATAATATAATATGCTTTTAATAAAGTAAAATAGTTACAAAAGTTTTATTTGCAAGTTATAATTATTGTAATATAACGTAACAATTAATTATCTTTAGATCATTTTATATTATGTATTGTAATATTACTGTTAATATCCGTGTTTGAAATTGTTCTAAGGTATTTCATATTAATTAATAAACCTCTCCGTATTTATATTAATGGTGTATAATAATACTCTTTTTGGTTTTATGAATTGTTTATAAATTATTTCACAGTATTAAATTTTATTATTAATAAGATTTAATTAAATTAAATTATGCTTACAATACTTAAAATATATATATATATATATATATACATTATAGTTTTGACAAGTATATCTATCATAAAAGTTTCATAAAATAACAATATTTAACAATATTTAATTTAATAATTAATTAAGAATATTAGTTTTTTTGAGAGTTTGATTAATAAATTTTGTTGAATTATAAAAAATTATTCTTCGATATTTAATATGTTAATAGTGATTGTGATTTGATTATTTCATTCGTCAGAACATTTGTATAAAGGATTTGACAGTCTTTTCAAATTTCATTGATGTGTATTAACAAGCGTCAATACATTAGCATTACTCGTAAGTACTAAGCAACATGAGTAAAAAAGCGAGAAAAGCCGGATAGTCTTTGGGGGAGGGGATGATCGACAAGCTCATGCGGTGTTGCTTGTATCTGTATAGAAATTTTGATCAGCTGATCGCGGGAACATAAGAATAAGGTGAAAGATAACCGAAATATAACAACCAAAGACATATAATATGCAATACAATGACAGTTAAGGAATTATGGATGTGATAGTCTAAATATACATGTATAATATATGTCCTTCTAATTGATGTTCATGCTTCAAAAATATTATTAATTAATTTTTTTCAGCAATAGATATTAGTATAATGTATTTTTAATATTTCACATACTTTTTAAGATATAAATAAAATAGCTATTTTACTTACTAAAATATGTTTTGTGAAGGTTTTAAAAATAAAAAATAAGATCATATTTAATGTTATAGAAGTTGAAAAAATACTTCTAAGAAGAGAAGAAAGAAAGATTCATTCATAAACTTTTGCTAAGGTATCACATTAACCGTCATTGAATGTTAACATTTTAAATCGAGTCGAATAATAATATTTAAAAGAAAAATCTTTGTATTTGTTATACATTAAACAAATTTTAAATAATATAATTTAACGATACAAAACTTGTATATTTAAAATTTTTTTTTATTTTTATATTTTTACATAATATTTTTATATTAAATATGAATAATTATTAGGAAATAGTTTTTAATTGAACATATGTAGCTATTTATTAAAATAAAAATGAAATATAAAGTAGTATGATGTAATTATGAAGGAAAATAAATACAATAAATATTACAGCAAAATGAATTATAAGCGTTTCATTAAATTTTGTTTATCTTTAATTCAAAGTCCTTTTAGTCCAATTATTTTGACTGGAAAGCGTTAACATTTTTATTTAAAAAATCATCACTCTTGAGAACTGTTAAAGTTAACAGGCAATGGAACTTAAAACTTACCTCGCGATCTTGCGTTAGCTGGAGCCGTTGAGCTCCTCGTGCCGCATCCCGACCACCGGCTCCACTCAGTTTCCCTTTTCGTCGCCGTGAAATTTCTTGTTCTTTAGAGGTGCGGATCACTATCGATAAGTTCTGGTCTTTGACACCGAGCGAAAGAGAAATTGTTCAAGAGTTACGTATATTAATTAGACGTCGCTCCCGATGTCTAAAATTTCGCGATCAGTGGGCTCTTAACTTCGAACTGTAACTTGAGAGTTTCGGTAAGTTTTATATTGAGCAAATTTCTTCTTACGGAAAGTATCTCGCTTGCAGTATCCAACGATAATTCGTAGATAGATCGATCACATCAATGGCTTGGGACACTTTTTTATTTTGTCACTTCACGCCAAGACAAACTATGTGACGCGCACAATTATTTGAAACGCCACGTGCTCCTTTATCAAAAGCGTCAATGTCTTTTTCCCACCTTTTCACAAGTTCTCTCTCGTTTTCGATTGTTCTGCTCTATCCCTTCTCAATACGCACTTGTTAATGTAATATAATAATTATTACCTATACACGCGGAAACCTACTTCCGTCTCTGATATTTGGGCTAATCCTTGTCAGTTTCTGAACTTCTGCTCGCTCATGCGGTCATACTCTGACTTTTCTACTCCTGTCGCGAGCAAGATGTTGCGTATACTGATAACCCGTCCACTTAGGTTCCGGCAAGCCCCCAAGTCGCGCGCGCTTCTCAGCTTCTCTCTCTCTCTCTCTCTCTCTCTCTCTCTCTCTCTCTCACTCTCTCTCGCTTGCTTTCATCTCTTGCAAAGAAAGCATGACAGTATATAAGGAGAGAGAAAGAAGGGAAGACAGTGGAGAAGAGAGAGGGAACGACAGGTGCTCTGGCACGAGGGAGCGGGAACTAGGTGTCTTACTTCCCTGGTACCCCCTCCTATCACTGATCGCCACTCATCTTCCCCCTCTTCTTCTTTTTGATTTTTTACTGATCTATCATTTATCTGTCATTCCTAACTTCTAATTCGCATTCTCATTGTTAATATAATTGAAATTTTTTTTATAAACGATATGAACGTTTTTATTTAATTTTTTTGATAAACAAAGAATAAACATTCGATACTTAGACGATTATATATTTATTAACATCTTCTTGAAAGAAGTTCAACCAATAATTATTTCAACCATTAATTATTAAAAATATTAAAGTAATTTTATTGACGAAATATTTATTATAATAATGTGTAAATTATAAATATAGAAATGTTTCTCATTTTTATGATACTAATCTTCATTATAAAACATCAATTATAACCTGCTGTTAGCTATACATATTAAATAACTATTACGATATTTAGTTATCGTTGTAGTTTTTAAGACTGAAATATTAGGAATATAATAGTTTTTTATCATATCAAATATTTTGTATTTTATATTTCAATTGCACATTATTGTAATTAATTTAATATTAAAGATAATAAAATAATTTTCATTATTTAAAAAACAAATTTATTTCTTTAATGTACAAATAGTTTTAATAAAATATCAATAGATAGATTTGGAGGACAATTAAATATGATCAGCATAGTACAGTATCAGTAAATAAGCGCAATTGAAATTATCGCACCATATAAATTACCAAATGTTGTTCTTACTATGACTGATAGTTTTTACTGTAGTATAAATGCGAATGAAATTTTAATTGTATACAATTAATTTATAATATGATTATTATTCACACGCATACGTATAAATTAATCAAAATTTAGAATCATTAAGATTCAAAAATTAAATTAAAAAAATAATTAATGTTTGTTTTACCTTAATTATTTTAATTTATTGGCGAAATTATATTTATTAAGTGTACGTATATTCATCAAATTCAAAGAAAATGTGTAAATAATAAAAAATTAGGATATTTTCAATTCTTTTCCTTTCTCATTATTTTTCTCATTTAGTATATGATTTTACGAAATATTATAATTTCATGGAAACATTAATACCTAATAGGTAAGTAATGTAATATTTCCATTTCTGTTTGAAAATGTCTGAATCTGTAATTTTTTTTTAAGAAAAAAAGATTTTTATAAAAATTTTAATAAAAACTATGATATTAATAGAAATGTGCTTATTAGTAAGTAAATATTGTTTAGATTTATTTAAATCACCGAAGTCTATATAAAACATAATTTTGAAAAAAATATAATTTTGAAAGTAAAATAAATTAAATATTATCAATTCTTTTAGTAAAAAAATTTTCATATATTCTCAGAATTTTTCATATACTCATTATTGTCTATGATATTATATTATAGAACTTATTAATGCACGTAAATTTTTAATTTTTTTAACGACTTATCTTATATAAATATATTTATTACAATGTTGATACATACGTATATATGAATATATATTCATTTATATCGTTTACATTTGAAATAAAAAATGCTCGTCATAGTACACTCCTCTCAATATTTCACTATTTTGACCTTGCAATATTTTATTTTTCAAATCATCGTTTTCTATCTTTCTTTTTTTTCTCCCTAATTTTTTCATTATATATGAGCACGTGCGAGTGATTTTTTTTCTCTTATATGTATCTTTTTACAACTTCCTTTCTTTCTTTTCATTTATGGGTATCTCTTTGTAATATGTACATTGTCAAAATACATGTCAATAGAGTAGTGGATGATAGATGAAAAAAAGACTAATAGACAGATTGATAGTAAAAGAGTGAATCAGATGTGGGAAAGCACAGAAGATGTAAGTAAGCGAAGGGGACGATGGAAGATGCGCGCGTGTGCGAACCAATACGCCGGCTGTGCATTGACGTCTGTCCATGAACAAGTGCGTTCTGCCACTTTCCGAGTAGAGGGCAACGACATTACTTCGATCCTTTTGCTGATGACTAAAGCGCTAACAAGCATACGGAAAGAGAGAATAAGAGAGAGAGAGAGAGAGAGAGAGAGAGTTAACGATCGAAATAAGAAAATAAAAATCCAGATAAAGACCACGCGTCAGATTGAAGTCATTTCAGTGAATGTGTCGAATGTACACGTTTAAAAAAGGTTTGACTCTTTATATCCCCGTCTCCTGTTTCTCTCCTGTTCCTCTCTCTCTCTCTCGCTCTCTCTCTCAAAGAGTCAAACCTTTTTTAAACGTGTACATTCGACACATTCACTGAAATGACTTCAATCTGACGCGTGGTCTTTATCTGGATTTTTATTTTCTTATTTCGATCGTTAAAGCTCTCTCTCTCTCTCTCTCTCTCTCTCTTATTATCTCTCTCTCTCTCTCTCTCTCTTATTCTCTCTTTTTATCTCCTCTATCATTTTTACGTTTTTATCTATAACGAAGCTTTTTATATCTTATAAGATTTATGACCTAGGTATATGTGAATAAAAGAATGTGAAAATCATGCGTTAGGTGATCAGTAGTTGCCACCGAAGGGCGTTTGATACTTTCATTCATTTAAAACAATCTTTTCCTCATATAATTTTGAAATTCAATCTATTATTTCCATATGAATTAATATTAGACATAATTCAATACATTATATTATTACTAAGCTTAGTAATAATCTTTCTAATATTTTTCTGATATTTTTCACGTTTTGAAGAATTTTATTTTATTATCCATAAGCCTGATACTAAAGTTTCTATAAACACTTGACTTCAGCTCTATGTTCAATATGAATAATATGGTTGTGAAAAAAATTTGCAAAATATTGGAGAAATGCTCATTTTACATATTATATTTCAATGCATTTATTGTGCATGAATGTATTATTTGTGATAAATTTCATAACTCGTAAAATAAATCTAATTTTTGTGAAAAATTTTTATAAATAGTTTTATATTATGAACAGTAACAAAACAAAAGAAAGTTCTCTATTTCAAATGAAGTTATACATCAGTTTATGTATTCTTAAGGATTATATATATTTTTATATTTATTTGAGTCAACAGTTTTATATTTTCTAATATGCGTTCTATCGTTATAACTATAGAATAAAGTTAAAGTGAAAAATATATTTTATAAAGATATTATAACGCTACTACTTATCAATACTGCTTTTTATGAGTTTTATATATTCCTACATATATTGAAATATTGCAAAAAGAGCGTAATAAAAAATATTAAAGAAAGAATAAACTGAAGTAATTGAAGTATACAATTAAAGTATTTTAACTTATATTATAAGTTTTAATTTCACAATATTTCTATATAATTTTATTGAGGGCTTATTAATTTAAAATAAGTTTAGAGTTAGTTATTTCGTCAATTTTTTATGAAATTATTGTAAAAATAAATTTTTATATAATAGTATTTACGATAACTTTATTAATTTTTAAAAATAAATGTATTTTCCGTTAAATGGAAATGTTTATTTTTTTAAATTTTGAAACCAGTTTAATTTAATTATTTTTTAAACATTATAATATATACGTTAAAAATATGTGATTTCACATAATGTTTATCAAATAAATAATATATTATTAAAAACACAATTTATATTTACTTTACAATAATGATTTTCAATTATTTTTATAAAATTAGTTATGGAAATATATGTATAGAAAGAAACTAAAAATTTTAAGTGAATGCTATATATTTAGGAAAATATATTTATACTGTAATTATAAATGTATTTAAGAAGTGATAAATAATGCATAAATATAACACAATAAGTGCAAATAAATATATGTCTTCAATTAAAGAATTAATAAAATGATTTCACAATAATGTAAACAATAAAAAGTATTTCAAATTAACAAAAAATCAAAGTAGTTATGTTCAGAAATCATCACAATGATTATTAATAATTGACTAATGAAAACATAAAATTTTCAAATAAAAGAAATCAAAATCGCTCTCGCGTATTGTATGAAAAAGATCGTCAGATTTTAATTAACAATTCTAAGTAATAGTTATAATTTTTTAAATTAAATATGTTATAACTTTATATGCTTATATTTTTGTAGCATAGATCTGAGTGATATCATTATATGTAAAAATTATGAAAATTTTCAATAATCGTACAACGTTTCATAAAAATTGCTTGTATTAGAATACAAGAATTGATACTAAATATCATTGAGATTTCACTTATAAAATTCAGTTCTTCTGCGAATATAAATAAAATTTTTGTAAGTCTTATTAATAAGTATGGTTTTGTATTATACTCATAATGTATTAATTTACATGACACAGAAGAACATTAAACTTATGATTATTAAATAGAGATATTTAATTGAATGACCTA